TCCACCGACTTGCACTGCTCTGCAATTTTTAAAGATATTGATTGTACTTTGCAGGCACTGAACTCGAAGAAGATGATTGGTAAGGTCAGCTTGCAGAATAGTCTCTACATTCTTCCTGCCTCTACTAAAACCGAAATCTCGAAATCTTTCACCGTTTTAGAAAAAGTGGATAATGTTATGTTATGGCACTATCGTTTAGGTCATCATAGTTTTCACTATCTTGCAAAAGTTTTTCCAGCTCTATTCATTCATAAAAGGCCAAATTCTTTTTCTTGCAAAGTTTGCTCTCTTGCCAAACATACTAAATCAACTTATTCTCCTTCTATATATAAGCCTTCTCACCCTTTTGCTTTGATCCACAGTGATATTTGGGGTCCTTCTCGGGTGAAGAATGCTGATAATTGTAAGTGGTTTATCACTTTCATTGATGATCACAGTAGGATAACTTGGACTTATTTGCTAAAAGATAAATCTGAAACTGCTGGTGTTTTTACCCAATTTTATAACATGGTTCTCACTCAATTTGGGTTTAAAATTCAGCTCTTTAAATCTGATAATGGCAGTGAATTTTTTGCTAAGTCTTTGGGTGCATTTTTCAGGGAAAAGGGCATAGTTCAGATTAGTTCTTGTGTTGACACCCCACAACAAAACGGTATTGCTGAAAGAAAAAATAGACACCTCCTTGAAGTTACTCGTTCTCTTCTATTTACCACTAATGTTCCAAAATATTTGTGGGGGGAAACCTTATTAACTGCCACATATTTAATCAATTGAATGCCTAGTAAGGTTTTACAATTTCAAACACCTCAATCTATATTTTTGCAATATTTTCCTCATTTTAAACTTATCTCCTCCATTCTTCCACTTAAAATATTTGGTTGTACTGTTTTTATCCAAAACATTGCTCCTAATAAGTCCAAGTTAGATCCTAAATCATTAAAGTGTGTACTGGTTTGGTATTCTTCACTTAAGAAGAGTTATAAATGCTATCATCCTCATTCAAAACGATTTTTACCACTATGGATATAACATTTTATGAGCAGGATCCCTATTTCACTCAGGCTGAAATTCAGGGGGAGACATGGAAGGATTTTCAGCCACATCAGGTATCTCCTCCTATTTTTCATTCTCAACCTTCAGAATTGCCACCAATTTTGTCCTTACCTACAGATTTGTCACCTGTAACTACTCCCATTGATCCACCGGTAGTACCTATCACTACTTCACCCATACCCACTTTAAATACCCTTCTTGAAAATATACGTACTCCTATTCAAAATATTCCACAAACAACACCAATCAAACAACTCCGTTTCTATACAAGGAAAAGAAAACATATTCCTGAGGCTGTTTTGCAATCTGATGTTTGCCGAGAATTGGATTTGGGTCCAGCTGCCGAAATAGAAGAAGAAATCAGTAAGTTTACTTCTCCTACTCTAGATGACTTCCCTATTGCTATTAGAAAAGGGGTTAGACAGTGCATCAAGCATCCTATTGAAAAATTTGTTGGTTATAATTCATTGATGCCGTCTTTTCAAGCATTTACAGCAAACTTGGATAAAGAACATGTTCCCACAAGCATAGCTGAAGCTCTAAAGGATTCAAAATGGAGAAGGGCTGTTGAAGAGGAAATTTGTGCACTGGAGAAAAATGCTACTTGGACTGTTACGGATCTTCCTCAAGGAAAAAAGGCTGTTGGCTGTAAATGGATCTTTACTGTAAAATATAACTCAAATGATAGCATCCAACAATACAAAGCGAGACTAGTGGTCAGAGGCTTTACACAAACATATGATATAGATTTCACAGAAACTTTTGTACCTGTGGCGAAGTTGAATACTGTTCGAGTACTCCTAAGTTTGGCTATAAATTGCGATTGGAAATTACACCAACTTTATGTAAAAAAACGTTTTTCTTAATGGCAAGCTAGAAGAAGAAGTCTATATGAAGTTGCCACCTGGCTTAAAGTCTGTTGAAGGAAGTAACAAGGTGTGCAAACTCAACAAGTCTCTATACGGGTTAAAACAATCACCCAGAGCTTGGTTCGAAAGGTTCACTAAAGTCATCCTAAAAAACGGCTACAAGCAATCCCTCACCGATCACACTCTTTTCATCAAGGTAACTTCTACAAATAAAAAAGTTATCTTTATTGTGTACGTGGACGACATAATTCTTACCGGAGATGATGAAGAGGAGATTTGCAATTTGAAGAAGTTGTTAAATAAGGAATTCGAAACCAAGGACTTGGGAAAGCTAAGGTATTTCCTAGGAATGGAGGTGGCAAGGTCAAAAGAAGGACTTGTGATCAATCAAAGAAAATATGTAATTGATTTACTCAAAGAAACTAGTTTTCTTGGTTGTAAGCCGAATGATACACTAATGGAGGCAAGCTTGAAATTTAACAAAGAAGATGGGTCATTAGTAGACAAAGAGAAATTTCAAAGATTAGTTGAGAAACTAATTTATTTATCCTTGACAAGGCCAGATATAGCATTTCCTGTAAATGTGATAGGTCAACACATGACTAATCCTACTGAAGAGCATATGGCAGCAGCAAATAGAATTCTCAAGTACTTGAAGAAAACTCCAGGACACGGTTTAATGTTTAAGAAGACACAAGCAGAACTGTTAAGATCTTTACAGATTCTAGTTGGGCTGGAGACCTTACTGAAAGGAGATCTACTAGTGGCTACTGCACCTTTGTTTGGGGTAACCTTACAACTTGGAGAAGTAAGAAACAATTTGTCGTTTCAAGTAGTGCTGAAGCTGAATTCAGAGCACTAGCATTGGGAATATGCGAAGGAATTTGGCTACTTAAACTACTGAAAGAACTTGTCACTAATCAAGAGGATCACTTTGAAGTTTTGTGTGATAATCAATCTGCTATTCAAATTGTCAAGAACCCAGTTCAACATGATCGGACAAAGCATGTTGAGATTGATAGGCATTTTATTGCTGATCAAGTTAACAAAAAGACAACCACACTTTCATACATTCCTTCAGAAGAACAAGTTGCAGACATTCTTACTAAAGTTTTGCCAAAGCCTGTTTTCAATAAATTCCTATTCAAGCTGGGATTATACAATGTATATTCTCCAGCTTGAGGGGGAGTGTAGGAATTATAGAAATATATGATTATGTAAATATCCTTTAATTAAGGGATTCTGTAAATATTCTACAATCCCTTATTTTAAGGGATCATATCTCCTAGGATTAATATTTTTTCTTTCTTAGAGTGTCATACTTTAGAGAGATGATTTGTATATAAATATGTAATCTGTCCTATTGAAAAGAATAAGAAATTACATAAAATTACTTTGATTTCTACAGAAGCACTTGGATTTGCCCAGTACGTTGCAAATGAAAACCTTCTAATGACAAAAGAGCAGCTTTTTGATATAACGTGCATGACCCTCGGTGGCCGAGCAGCTGAACAGGTAAGTTTGAAACTTTCTATTTCAATGTATGGCCGAGTGCAAATAGAAACACGAACTCATCGAAATATTTGCTTGAATGCTTCCTTTTTGGTTTGTCATATTTTATATTCCAAATACCGAAATATTCCAACACTGAGGCACAGACTAGAACTATTAAACTAAACCATTTTTTCCCATGATTCAGGTTTTGTTGGGAAAGATATCAACCGGTGGTCAAAATGACTTGGAAAAGGTGACTAAGATGACCTATGCCCAGGTGGCGGTTTATGGCTTTAGTGACAAGGTAGGCCTCCTCTCTTTCCCTCAGAGAGAAGATGGGCTTGAGATGTCGAAGCCTTATAGCAATAAGACGGGTGCTATCATCGACAGTGAAGTGCTCAAGTGCGTGGCCAAGGCATATAAAAAAACAATGGAACTTATAGAGGAGCACAAAGATCAAGTAGCTGAAGTTGCCGAATTGTTGCTCGAAAAGGAAGTTCTTCACCAAGATGATCTGATTCGAGTTTTGGGCGAACGACCATTTAAATCGAGTGAAGCTACAAACTATGACAGATTTAAGCAAGGGTTTGAAGAGGAAGAAACTAAGAGCACGCAAACCCCCGAGGGTGGAGCTGCGGATGATGATGGATCTGCACCACTTGTTCCTCAGGTTGTTCCAACTTGATCCTTGATGGAAGGCTATCCTGATTTTTGTACATTTGAGTCAATAAATTGGTTCAATTTTCCGCAACTGTTTTATTCAATAGCCATTACTGACCATTCTGGACTTCTTTTAACATGTATAGGAATGTTAAAATAATTTGTTCCAGATTATTTGTTGTATATTTTTCTTAAAAAATATAACGTCAGTTTATTTAAGATGCATTTTAATATTCAGATGAGATTCATATACTTTTGGATCGGTATATTTTATTATCAATTGATCGAATATTTATCTAATTTTCTAATATATCTTAAGATACGTCAATTCATATACGTTTTTTATTAAAAGATTTAGATAAATTATATTTTAATTTTTTTTATTATATTATATTTATACTTTAGATATTTTTTTTATTATTTTAGTTATTTAAACCTAAAGTTAAAACAAGATTTTTTGAACTCATCAAATGGTCTCTGTGGTTAACGAGAGTGTTGTTTTCTCTAGAAATATTAAATTCAAACAGTTGCGTATGTAGGTATCACTCTAAATTATTAAAAATAACACAACTTTTGTAACGTATATGAGATTATCTTTTGAATCATTATTCAATAACACATTTTTTGTGAGAAGATTTGGGATTTCTCATTTTTGTTGTATGGAGGTAAAATTTGTATTAAATTTAAAATAAAATTTGAGTTTCTATGCACAATTAACGCATTAATCAAACATAATCCGTAATTAAGTTCGGATGCAAAAGTAGTACTTGAAGGGCCTTCCTTCTAAAACTCGAATCCATTAATGGCCCATTTATATTGGGTCAACTAGTGTTGCAGAGACCCCAAGTTTCAATTCATCATCCCCAGATTGAGAAAAGTTGAAGCCCTAAGATTAATTCTGATAAAAGCAGTACTCAACATAAAGTGATTTCCCTTCCCTAATCCTAAACCCTCGTTTTCGTTTCCTGCTATTTCCCTCTTTCAAAATACATACTGAAAATATTTCCCTACTTGCGGCCATAAGAGAGAAAATAAGTAATTCAAATAATCTTAATTCCAATCTTGGCTCCTTAAATGGCGAAGCGGGAGCTCTCCAGTACTTTGAGGGGCTTGAAGGTAACCTAAAAGCACGAAACTCTTTTCTTTTTCAGTAGTTTTGTTCCTTGATCTTTTTGGGTTTTTCTTTAATGTATCTGGTTTTATACTATTACTGTTTTTGCTGATTTTCTATTGAATTTGCAAAAGAGAAAAAGCTTTTTATTTATAGATTCTGTCTTCTCTTATGGAGTTATTTGAAATTTGAACTTGGCTTTGTTTAATTCATCTGGATTTCGTTTCTGTTGTTTTTTTTTCAAGGTGGAAAAAATGTTATCTTTTAACTTGTTTGGGTTTTTTTTCTCTCTTCCATTTCATGCAATAATAGTTCATGCAAAGGGCAGCTCAGAGATAGGAGAAAGTGGTAAAGGAAGAAGAGGTTAAACCTGAAGGAATTAGTAGTATTACTAGAAAATGGTACTAAAAACCCTTTGTTTATAAATTATCTGAAATCTCTATTATCATACATTATTCGTTCCTCAGAAATTGTTTAGATTTAGTTATGATAAGATATAAGCCTTTGGCATTATTATACTTCAATATGATTGCATATAGCTTATACTTTGAAGTTAGAATGTTCCATGAACTTATACTTAAAGGCAAGAGAGAGAATGGACGGTTGATATATGTATATTTTTCGTGGTAGTTGAAGATTCTTTCAATGCTGATAGTCAGAGTTGATACTTGAACTTGTACTACTTGCAGGATCTGCTTGCTTGACTGTTCCTATTTTCAACTTGTTTTAACGTTTTTTGCAAATATTCAGTGTGGTCATTATGGAAGGAGATCCTAGTCCAGGAGCAACTGTTGGGCGGATGTCATTTCGAAGTTTCAATCCCTCTATTGATGCGCGTATAAAGGTCAAGTGACCTAAGAATTGTCTGATGATGTCTTTTCACTTAATGTGGTTCTCTTGTTGCTCTTGTCCTCATCTGAATGCCTTGTCTGGTAGAAACTGAATGAACCGTCATCAAATGATTGTAGACCAGATGCCAGTGGTGGATGAGCTTCATCAAGGTACGGCTTTCCTTTTTTCCCTTTTCAGGGTTGGTGTTAATGTTCCAGTATTTCCTTAAAAAAATTTATAATTATTATGTTGTTTGTGTCATATTTGTAAGCCTTAAATGCAAGATGCTAATCCAAATGATTAATTCTTAAACGAAAATCCTAATTAAAAATATTAGCAAGGGGCTTGCAATGGAAGAAATACGGACATGTTGAGATGGAAATGCTAGTCACATGTAGGTGTAGTTCACGTCAGGGACATGTTTGCACATGTTGCGTAGTTTATCTGACCTTTTGTCCTTGAATCGTGACAGTGAAAATGGATCTGCATCTGAAGCAACCGACTGCTCAAAAGTTGGCACTGATAAACACACAGGTAATGGAGACCTTAAGAGAAAACAGCCTGACATGGTTTCTAAATCAGCTTATCCGAATAAATCACCAAAAAAATGGTAATGCTGTTCACTCGTCACCAAGCAGCAGCTAAGCCGTCTGCACAAAGCAGTCAAAGCATGAGAAGCTCACTGGAATGTTCTCAGGCACCAAAGCCTAATCGGTGATCCGATTTTTGAAATTGTTTTCGACAGAGCAGTGCTTTAATATTTGTTTTCATGCACCCTAAGTCTGTAACTTTGTTGTCATATTATTAAAGACCAGCTTATTAACTTTCAGATTTGTTCGTTTTAGCAGTTAATATTTGACGAACTTCACCAATTTGAATGGTGACTCAACTGAATCTAATAAGCTTTTGAAGAAAGTAATGGTTATATGACAATCTCGAGATTTGTTTATTTATTGCTAAACTTGCATCTTTTTAACTAATCATCACTAGCAGATTTCCAACAAGAAAGGGCATAAATAACTCTCCCCTTCCATCCCTGAAGCATCCAATGGTCATCCAAATCTAAACCAAATTCACTATGATAATTACATTGGACCAAATGACTCACTTTCTTCACCAGCTCCTGATCCAAAGGAACCTGCTTGAACCCTGCCCTAACGGTCCTCGCCTGCCATTGCTTGTACGTTTCTGGTCTTTCAACCCTCTCACTGCCCTCGCATGCAATGACATTCATAACGTCCCTTCCAAGCACTTCCTTCTCAAACATCATCCTTCCTGGATCTTGTTGAGAAACATTAGCTTCAAATATATCGAACTTAGCAGAGAAATGGAAGAGCGCTTCTCGGAATCTCGTGACAAAGAATGGAGCGTTATATGTCCCGCTTTCAATTCTATGGATGAATAACTCCGGGTTAATGCTTCTGATCAGCTTCAGAACAGTGTCCCTTGCACTGGTCGAAGCCATTGTGTCATCCGGGAGGTTCTTTAGCCGATACATGCAGTTAACAACAACCACTTCGCCTTTGTTAATCTTTAGTTGTTTGAGCTGGATGGTTTCCCATTTCTTTGCTATCACGATGTACTCAAATGGAACATTGAATCTCTCACAAAACCTTTTCAAGCGATGCCCCGTCTCTTCGACTCTTTCTGCAGGTCGAAGACCTGGTTGGGGAAACTCAATTCCAGTAATACGAAGCTTGGGAGGACCACCATACTTTGCCGAGAGACACCGTATAAGGCAAGGCCATTGGAACCCATAGCAAATGCCGAAATCAACGATGTGGAGCGTGATTGCCGTTTCTGCAACTTCCATGATCTTTTTATTTGCGTAGAAATTCGACATTTTCTTAAAAGGACAAGCTGAAACATACACGCTGTAAGCTTTCAAGACATCAGCTGCCGAAGTCTTGTTGCTTATCAAATGTAAATAGGATGGTGCACCCAAGCCAGCCAAACGAGTTTTAAGTGCATCAGCAAAGTAATATGCCAATCTTTGGGTTCCGTCTCCGGTATCAGAAGAGTGTTGACTTATCTGTTTCAGCAGCACATTGGCAGTTCGTATGTCATTGATGGCTACAGATTGTGCACACTGAGTTAGGAGACTCCACAAATCCACTACTTCACTCTTCTTCCTGCTGTTCTTCCTGCGTGACACTCTTGCACCATTGTTAAGCCCGTGAAGAAAAAACTTTGGGTAGTCCTCACTTTCTCCTTTGCAAAGCAGTACCTCGTCGAACATCTCCAACTGTTCTGAATCTTCGAGTGAAATCGCAGATTGCTTGCTGCTCCTACCTTCTTCTAAATAGTCACCATCTTTGCGCTGATAATTTTTCCTTCTCTTCGACCTTAATGGTGATAGGCTGGTTTGTGGGGCCAATTCACCCCCGAGAGAGGACTCCCTAAATGACTCAGTCGTGGTGTCTCTCCATGTAACTGAGTCGGTACCAGTAATATGGCTGTTAATGCTAATAATACGTGTGGTTTGAGTAGGATTATCGTCTGGGAATAGAGAGGTTGGTTGGACTGGAAGTGGATATTGGTAGCCGAGGAGTTCATGGAAGGATTTCTCAGCAGCTTGGAGAGCTAAACAATCCTGCAACATGCAGGACTTTTCTTGCACATCTTCTTCCATTAGCATCTCGTTTATGTATTTAAGCATTTCATTGGCGAAAGGGTCATTATCAAGCCGATGTCCTTGGAAACTCGTGCCTGGTGATGAAGCTGAACCATCATGATTTGTAAGCATTGGCATTGAGCCATGATCAAATTCGAAATCGAGTAAATCTTGGAAAAGGCCATCCGTATAAAGTTGGAAACTCATCTTGAAGGTAAAATTTTGAAGAGAAAATGAAGGTTGGTTCAAGAAGGGAAATATATCAAATGAAGGAACCAAAACCGACAAGAATAGTCAATGGGCAGCCTAGTAAAGAAGCTATATAATGTCCTTGTCTGAAGTAATTGAACTGAAAATTCTCTCCACTTATAATGCTCAAGCTGATAAGCTTTTATGAGTGAACATTCGAGGAAACTACCATTACGGTAGAATAGCCGCCACCTCGTCCCCACCGTTTTGAGACAGATTATGTGTGTCATCAATGAGGAAATTGACTTCGTTGAAGACAGGCTCATTTGATCCAGCAACTAATGTTGTGTTTTATTATATTTGTATATACTTTTCTAGTTAATTAATTAAATTTATAATATAACTTATTAAATTCGCACATGACATAAAATCTTGTCCATGTATAAGGATATTTTTGTCTGAAAATCGTTATTCAGTCCCGTTACCTATTTAAGAGCGGGGTAACTGAGAAAGAACGCCTATAGATTCACTGTCCAGTGGGACAGTGATTCTTTGGTGCTTAAATAGGCTAGTTGTATTCTATTTATGCTTGAATTTGATAAGTTGATGAGCAAATGACTGACTGGTGATCCACTTGTACATCTGGAATGAAAATATTCGGTGGATGAGCACAGTAATTTTTTCAGATTAATCTGAGTTCAATCAAAGTTGAAAAAGTGGAAAAATAATATTTCAAATCTCGATTCAATGAATCTTACCCACTTGATTTATGCTTTATTTGAATGCGGCATTGAAATTAGAAAGGGTGTCACATCTCATCCCATTAGAGACTGAAAGCACCATCGAATCTTTATGGGTGAAAAAGAAAAAGAAACTCTTTCCAAAGTTCAAACAAAGCATTTAGTATATAATTTATAAAACCAACAACAAAACAACTTTGCATTGGACAGTAGCTTGATGCTGATAAGGAAATGATTTAAAGTTTTTCTTTATAGCCTCCAAGCAAGGACAAAATAGCTCATATCACAGATCTGGGATGGGTCATAACTCGAGAACAAATCTTGAAAACCCAAGTTTTAGATTTTTCATGACTACACGAACCAGCTAGATTGAACTTTTTGCAGTATTTTACTTTTATGTCATAGATTTCATTGGCAGTACAGAAACGTTAATCTATCCATTTAGCTATTTATATATATAATAGTGAAATAGAAGAAATAAAGCAGATTAGTCCTGGACAGGTTTCCAGCAAGAAAGTGCATGGATTACTCTCCCTTTCCATCCTTGAAGCATCCATCGTCCATCCACTTCCAAATCAAAATCCTTATGGTAGTCTGATTTCAACACCGTTCTTGCTCTTTTCAATATCTTCTGCTCTAATGGAAGCTGTCTGAAACCAGCTTTCTTGTTCCTCAGCTGCCACTGCTTGTATGTTTCTGGTCTATCGATTCTCTCCGTCCCTTCCAAACATTTCTCTTTCATTTAGCAATCTATCCGGATCTTCTCTGGCTACATTGGCTTCCAGGATGTCGAACATTGATGAGAAGTGGTAGAACGCCTCTTTAAATCGATTGTTAAAGAATGTGACATCGTAATTACCATTAACAACTCCGTGGATGAAAAGGTCCGGATTGATTTTCTTTATCAACTTCAACACCATGTTCCTTGGACTGTTTAACATGACTGAATCATCAGGGAGATTCCTCAGCCTGTACATTCAGTTAACAACGATCAACTCATCTCTCTCGATCTTTAGCTCCTCGACTTGGATGGTTTCCCATCTTTTTGCTATGGCATTGAACTCGAACGGGACATTAACATTCTCTCACAACATCTTAAACGACGGCCCGTCACTTTGATTATTTCCGCAGCACGGAAACTGGTCCTTGTTGAGAGGCGCTGGATAAGGCAAGGCCACTGAAAACCATAGCCAATGCCGAAATCAATAACATGGATTGTCGTTGCCTTCTCTGCTAGCTTTGCAATGTTTCGAGTGGAAAACAAATTCGATACCCTTATGAAAGGGCAAATTGAAACATAAAATGTGTGCTTTCAACAGCCAATGTGGCATTGGTTGAAATGTGGGTAAATAGAGGTGCCCTGATGCCATTCAAGCGTATTTCGAGACCCTTGGCAAAGTAATAATCCAACCTCTCGGTTCCATCACCGTAAGGAGAAGAGTAGTGCCTGATCTTACTGAGTAGCTCGGTTGCACTTCTTTGGTCATAAACGGCACTAACAGGATTCTGAATCGGGGCTCTGATTTGGCTCCATTAACAGGATTCTGAACCATGTTGGAATGAAGATGCCGACTCAGGGCTCTGATTTTACTACAAAAGCAATAATTGTGTGAAGCTTCTTTGAAAGTCCAAGATAACGCCAGACCCAACAGCCGCCAGGTAATAACAAGCTGAACATTCAACGGAGGTATTAAAGTACAAAAGGAAGGCTATTTAATTGACTTTGAGGATCGCCTAATTTCATTGTCTTGAATCAGATATCGAGCACTCACTTCATTATTAATTATTATATACAACAATGGTAATTGCCAGGTTAACTGAACTTGAAAAAGCAAATGACCGCCCGGTTTGAATTCTTTGGTTCAACAATCTGTTGGATATATTATTCATATGATTAGCTTATATAAAATAGGTTTTATATCTCAAATATCTTATTAATTCAACTTCCACTACACTGATTTTAATTGCTTATAATGAGATTTTGATATATTTTAATGTGCTGACGGGGACATAATCTTAGCAAATAAAGATGTACATACAATCCGATTAACGACTTC